CCCCAAAACCCCAAAACCCCAAAACCCCAAAACCCCAAAACCCCATATTAGAAATCTTAGATTGGAATAAAAAATGGAATCAAGTACTCCTGAAGTCCCCTTCTACGACATCTTAACTGCTGAAGGAATAGATTTTTCCGATATTATTAAGCTGAGGAAACACTTCCACAAGTACCCAGAACTTGGCTTCAAAGAGTTTGAGACAAGGAAGAAAATCCTTGAATATTTTACAGAGATAGAACCTGAAAATATCTACACAATGGGCGAAACCGGTATAGTCATTGACATTAAAGGAACTGGGCCTGAAAGCCAAGAAGGTTCTTGCCAAACCATAGCCTTTAGAGCTGATATGGATGCTCTACCAATGGTAGAAGAAACTGGGCTGGATTATACATCTACCACAGACTGCGCTCATATGTGTGGTCATGATGGCCACATGGCAACTTTGATAGCAACAGCTCAGTTTTGGATGAAAAACAGACCTAAGATTCCTCAGAATAAGACGATCAGGCTCTTATTCCAGCCTGCTGAAGAAGGTCCAGGAGGAGCTCTACCTATGATAGAAGAAGGATGCCTTGAAGGAGTTGATGAAGTCTATGGGTACCATAATGCGCCGTTTGGAGAAGAAGGAAGTATTAGCCTTAAATCTGGAGGCTTCATGGCAGGTAGCGTTGAAATTAGGATAGAAATAGAAGGAAAAGGAGGACATGGGTCAGAGCCTGCTCACTCTATTGATCCCATCACAGCTGCTTGTAGCCTCCATGCTTCATTCCACTCCATAAAATCTCGTAATACTTTTAACACAGATGTTGTATCTTTTGTAATCTGAGCATTTAACTCTGGAACAGCTGATAATGTTATTCCCAGAACAGCTCATATGAGAGGAACTTTAAGATATTACGACGAGAAAGTAAGAGACAAGGTTATCGAAAGAATAAAAACTCTTACAGATTCAGTATGTACAGGTTTTGAGTGCAAGTCTAACCTCGAACTCATCTACAAATATCCTCCTGTAATGAACCATCTTGAACAAACTGAGAATGTATTGAAGATAGCAAAGAAACAATTAGGTGATGACAAGGTCAATACAACAGAACATCTACCTTGGTTCGCAAGCGAGGACTTCTCATATTATCTTCAAAAGGTCCCAGGCTGCTTTATAGTCCTTAATAATGTAAAACCAGGAGGAGAAGCTATTTCTCTTCATTCAAGCATGATGGACTTTAATGATAATATAATCCCAACTGGAGTGTATCTGAACATCAAAATATCTGAAGATAGACTAGGAATCAAAATCTTAAGTTAATTTTCAACTCCTTTCTAATTTAATGGGGTTTTGGGGTTTTGGGGTTTTGGGGTTTTGGGG